ATTTGCCATAGGGTTTCATTTTTTAGTTTGAACAAGTTGAATCGCTTTATTAAAGTTTATAAGGATTCTTTAAACAATGAATTGAAAAGGAATGTGGTTTACAAGATCAACTGTCGTGATTGCGATGCTTCCTATGTGAGACAAACTGGGAGAAAATTAAAAACCAGACTTTCTGAACACAAAAAGCATATCCACAGTACAACATCCACTCATTTAGTGATCACAGAACATAGATTAATAACATAGTGAGTGCAGAACGATCATGACTTTGATTGGCAAAACGTAGAAATTTTGGATGTAGAAAACTATTATAATAAAAGATGATATCAGAGATGATGCATATTTATCGACAGACCAATGGGCTGAATCTACAACATGATACCATTGGTTTAATTCATGCGTATATTGAAATTCTTAATAAACTTTAAGGCTTGTTTGTAATACATTATTCGTCAAAAATTTGTTTATCTTCAAATTGACCGCTATGTCACTTGTTTAGAAATCATTATTTAACTGACTGTCGAAATGACAAGACACATATTGTTTTCGCAGTTATTTTTTAAAATTTGACGATAATTTATAACATATTAACGAGTTAAAAAATGTTAAATAAGAGAGATTCATTGTTCATTGTAGAAGCGTCGACTATGTGAGGTGAGGTGAATATCAATTTTCAAATTATACATACGATAATTTAATCTTTCATATAATTTTAGCTTGAGTTCTCATTGCCACTCAGCTTTCTAACTTTATGAGTATGTGACTTACTTCACAACAGTAAACGGTTCAATATTCGGGAGGAAAAACGTTGGAGATATCATTTTGTCATACAATACTCTAAACGTTACGCTAGGGTGAAAGATTGCTGATGAAGATTCAAACCATGAGTGGAAACGTTCAAAGTTAAGGTTTATATATTCAGTATTAAGAAAAATTGCGCTAACTGATAACCAGCGTCGACTCGTATTGCCTGTAATACATATTTTACGGTTTTATTAATTATTTTAATTAAAGGAGTTTGTAAAAACTTATTAGTTATTAATTTGTAATTCATCATTATAAGATTTTTGTTTTAATATGTTTTAAATTTCTTTTCTCTTCCCTTCCTTTGTAATACACGTATGAACGTATGTATGAACGTGTGTATAAAACGTATTTATAAAACGTATGTATAAACGTATGTATGAACGTATGTATGAACGTATGTACGTATAAATGTGTGTATACACGTATGTATGAACGTATGTATAAACGTATGTACGTATAAACGTATATATAAACGTATGTATAAACGTATAAACGTATGTATAAACATATGTATAAACGTGTGTATGTATAAACGTATGTACGTATAAACGTATATATAAACGTATGTATAAACGTATGTATGAACGTATGTACGCATAAACGTATGTATGAACGTATGTATGTATAAACGTATGTATGTATGTATGTATGTATGTATAAACGTATATATAAACGTATGTATAAACGTGTGTATAAACGTATGTATGAACGTACGTATAAACGTATGTACGTATAAACGTATATATAAACGTATGTATAAACGTATGTATGAACGTATGTACGTATAAACGTATGTATGAACGTATGTATGTATAAACGTATGTATGTATGTATGTATGTATAAACGTATATATAAACGTATGTATAAACGTGTGTATAAACGTATGTATGAACGTACGTATAAACGTATGTACGTATAAACGTATGTACGTATAAACGTATGTATAAACTCGTGACAAAGAAAATACGTAGAAAGACGTGATACAACGTGTTGCGACACGTTTGAAATTCTTGGAAAGAGAGGGACGGCCTGCCCTTTCTTCAATTTTAGAAGTAACATCATATACGAAGTATCACAATTTACGAGAATGCGATCAGTACCTGCTTGTACGAAAGGTCCAGCAGCAGCAGCAGCAGCAACAGCAATGTACTCCGCTGTAGGAAGCAACACACGAAAACATTATTACGTTCCACTTCAGAATAATGATGAATCCATCATTTACGAAAAGATGTGCCAAGTAAGTTTAAGAATCCCCCATTTTTATAATTTTTCAAATTAACTATTTAATTAATTATTTAATATTTTTCTCTATAGCGCGCCCGTACATCGTGCGGTTCGCATACTAGGCAGGAAATACGCATTGACACGTACGGGATACAAATTTCTAGAAATTGATATCAACGTTGGCCCACCGAGCTACGAGGAGATTGCGATAGGAGATAATCGTGGAAATGAATTAATACTATCTATCGAAACATGGAAAGGACTCTATGAACAACGTTGGAACATTCAAAACTGCCTTCGGAATCACCACAAGGGCAATTCTATTAACGTTGGACCGCTGACTGTGCGATTCAGTACAATTGAAAATGCTAAAATTGTATGCTTGGAATCATCCGACGTACGTTTAATAATGACTGAATCAACAATATTGTTTATGTTCAACTTAGATAAATGCATTGAATTTGCATTCGATCAATTGGTTGGTATCGTCGAGAAAGTCTATACAAAGTTTACACGATTTTCAAATATCGCATCCTGTAACGGATGCTAAAGATATACCAAATGTAATATACGCTAGCGATTACTTTGATAAAAATCAGCTCCTCGACTGCGAAATGTTAGCTGTAGTTTTTTGTGCGTAAGAAAAAATTATGTAAAACAAATATTATTAAATTAAAAAATTGTTAATCTAAAAAATTATGATGTAATTTCTTCACACATACATATGTATCACACACATATATATGTACTGCTTTATTTCACTCCCCATCCTTTGCCTCAACGCGTTAGTATAAAATAATGCATTGTAAAAAATACGTCGTAAGAATAAAGGATGTCGCGAGGGGATAACCACTAGCTGAAATATTGTCCCACAGATTACATGACATCATATGATTTCATCTGATTATATACAAATAATTTTTTACACTACATATAAAGTCATTTGGTAAAATACGAATTTATTTAATATTATACAATGATTTATTGTGGTTGCATATGTAATTATCGGATTATACATAGAGATTTCGTATAAATTTTATAATGATTTCGAGGACTGTCCCACGATTACATTAAGTGGTTACCCCCTCGGGATGTCGTACTTTTACGGGCGCGGGTTCCGCGGTGGCGGCAGTGGAGGCGACCGGGGACCTTCCCCGCGCCTACGAACCTCCGCGCCCCACTAGCCCCATGGGTTAGAAATCGCCTTGCTTAACTACTCTAAATCGATTAATTGTGAAACTTGGTTGTATTTAAGTATTTAAAATAATTAATATACAGGGTGAGTCATTTTAATCTATGGACTCGAATATCTTCCAAATTACGGTATCTACA